GTTAGGTATATTGAATTTAAAAGATACAGATCAAATAGTAATTAAATATTAAAAAAATGAAAGCGAATTTGTCGAATCTAATAGAAATGTACTTTGAGACCGATGCGTTAAAGAGTTGGTCGGATCTAATACATATAAAAAAAGGCATTAACGCAAAAAAAAAGAAAAAAAAAAGTGATATCTGAATACTTTCAGATACATAGAGGTCGATGCGTTAAACAGTTTGGAGCATATACAGCAGCAAATCCTTGAATGCATCCAAACTACTCTTCAGAGATTTGGCAATAAATATTCAGTTTCCTCGAAATATCGAAATTTTTGCAAATCAAAAAAGCATGCATACATACGAAGAGGTTCCGACAACGATCCATTTTACAGATATGAATTTTGTATATGAAAAAGCAACTATTTATAAGTGAATAATGAATTCCGACTAGTGTTACGAGTATCGGTTCGAATACAGGGAACCCACCATTTTTTTTAAAAACTATACATTTTCAATGCTAGATTTGGTTTCGAAAAAATTTGTTCGTCATCAAAAGATTTTCATAAATTTATTGGCTTGTTTGTTACCTCTTGTATATCGAGGAAAGGTAATATCGAAAATGTCGAGTTATGCGTTCACGTGGTATCTAAAAACGTGAAACTAAAAACGCTATCGGTTTGCTCATTCGTTTGCTCAAAGATGATATTCCTTGTGTTTGCATCGATAAGGAAATTAGAACAGATAAGGAAAGTGGGAAATTATATTCTTGAGAGGAGTTGTCAGGAAGCTCAGAATACTTATTAAGCGTTGCGTGTTAATATGAACCACTCTCCTCCAGCTAATATAATGGATCTCCAAATATCTTAATCAATCCAAATATTTAATATCAAATATGTAAATATCAAGTGTGATGGTTAATTTGCCCCGTATTTCTCCTATTTCTATTACTGATTTCGCCCTTTGACGGAATCGCAAATGTTATGAAAAAAAAAAAAGAAATCTTATATATGTAGGATGCCACGGAATCAAATGTGATATAATCAAATCTCTCTTATCTGAAAGCCTAAATTCATTTATAATTTTTTTAAAGTGCTAAAATAATATGAAATTTTTTGTTCTATAAACGGTGCAGAAAACGCTAGAGGAGCTTAATTCACCATACTAATTTAAAAGAAACTATGCTGCCGATAAATAATGGATTTTGGCTGGTGGTTAAAAATTAGTTAGTGTAAATAATCTCAAATGCCAACAACAATGGAAAGATTCTTATTAACTACTAACAAGATTAATTGAAAGTGGTGTGCTTTTTAAGAAAGAGAAGAAGGTCGAAAGTGAAATTGTCAGAGTGATCGTTTCGTAGTACTTGCAAAAAGTTTAGACCGAAATTTAGTTGCAATGTAACCATGGCATTCATTCTATGATGGCGGTATAAGAGTGTTTAAGATATCTTTAGGTATATTTGTGCATTATCATTAAGCAAAGTTAGTAATTCGTCATGTAAACACTCAACACTTTCCCCTCATTGTGGTATATGACGTCTTCTTAATCCAATCAAATGCACAACATTTTTTTTTGATTGATTGCAAAGAGTGACGGAAGAGGAAATAGTGTGAATAGAGTCAAGTTAAAATTGAGATGAAAGAGTTAGCATTTTGCTTTTAAATGGCAAAATAGCGAGATTTGGTCAATACGATTACAATAAAAAGACGAAAAACTGAGCGAACAGAAAATGAAAACATCCATAAATTCATACTATTATTAATAATTTGCAAGTGAACGGCAAATGTGAGTTTAAAATTTGATTTCGTCCGTTCCAGTGAACTGCCAGCATTTTAGGTGGGTGGTGGATATTAAAAATTTGTTTTCGTTAAATACTCTCCGAATGAAAACACTTTTTATCGACAATCACAATTGAGAAAAAGCAAAACTTTCTTGTTTTTAATACAATACCCATTCGATGACATTTTTGCATTTGCCTTGCGTTACATTTGTTTTTTTTTTTTTTTGTTTTTGTTTTTGTTGTTTAAAATTTTTCCTATTGCAGTGCTGCTGTGGGATTATGTTCATTTTTGTCGCAGTTGTTTTAATAATTGAAGACATTTGTTAATGAATGGTCTTTAAACTTTTCGGATAGACCCGAAAGTTCTAAATATCCGAAATCATTCTCCTTTATACGTAGATTGGTTTCGTCAAAGCGCTTAATGCCAATCTTTAGTTGTCATCTTCTCCAACATCGTAAAATGAAAATAAAATTTCACGTAAATACCGTCTTTTGGTACGAATTTCCGAACGTTGCCACCTTTAGAAAATTTGATATACGACGTCTTAAAAGATGATGTCAATAAAATAAAAATAGCACACAACATACAACGTCTCGTATACACATCACCGTTGTGTACATTTATTAATTGTTACACCTATTACTAGCACCCGGTAGATTTTAACTGCTTCTACTTAAATAAATATTATCAAGCGCAAACATAATTAGTAATATAATAATAATTGGTTTGCTTTTTTAAGCGTATGAGAAGTATTTAATTCGTCTCTAAATGCATTAATAATTATTAGCATGATAAAGGTAATTCCGAATCCATAAAAATCACTTGAGAAAAAGAAAAAGGAAAACAACAAAAGTAATATAATCAAAAATATTGTTAAGGCTTTTGTAACTTTTTTTTAGATTAATAAAATAAATTCTTAGGCTAAAAGGAGACATAAGTTGCGCGCTAGGGTCAACATAGTTTAACGATTCTATTGTAAAATAGGAAATTAGAGAGATATTAAGCTTAAAAGTTTTTAGTTTAATAAAGTGACATTACAAGGTTAGTTGTTTCAAAAGCGGTTTCCCTCTAATCCGGGAAAAGTTTAGACAGTCATAAAGCATAATAACTTTATTAAACAATAAATAAATGAAGCAAAGAGAAATGCTTTCGTACTATATGCATATTGCGTATATTAAAAAACACGTCATGAAAAAATTTATTTACTTAGCTTATAAATCTGGATATGTACATCTATATAAACAATTTGAAAACGTGATTTAGCTGAGTATGCATTTTATTTTTGAATTCATTTCATTTATACAATATATAATTCTACAATTTAAAAGAAAAGCATCAACTTAAATATAATGCACACTTAATTCAAATTAATTTATATCATTTTGTGCCGTTAGAGTCGGTTTGTCGTTCAAAGCAACCAATTAGAGTATGATTACCGCAATATTGCTATATACTGATTACCTTCGTAAAGCTCATCAGCGAGAATTAGATTGTATGAAATGGTATGACCGGCTTCCCATCCGTCTGTTAATATTTTACAAAGTCAAAATCGGATTATAATTATCAGAAAACAAATGCTTTCAATATTTCCGAAATTTTTCTTCTTTCGGCCTAGACGTAAAAATAAAGATAAGAAACTGAAATTTGGCAAAAAAAACTTTCTTTATCGACTAAAAAAACGAAGTCTAAAAAATGATTATCATCTACTTGGACGCATATCCACAATATAAAATATTTCGAAAAACTGCTACTTGATTGATCGTTAAAACCAACTGATGCATGTACGATTCAAAAGTGATCTCAATCGCCTTACTAATACATCCAAGATTTTAATTGCAATTTATTTCCAATTCATTGTAATGAACTTTACCATCTACGATTTTTATGATTTTTCTTTCATATCTTTACATATATGGCTCTTTGCAAACTGGTAAAAAAGGAAGGCACTTACTCTGTCTGTCTATCTGTTTGTCTGCTTGATGTATGTCCATTTTTATTATATTTTTAGTTTCAAAGAAGTGAGATGAAATTTGATATGATGACATTTCTTGGATCAAGGACGAACGTTATTGAAAATGGACTGAGTCGAATCGTTTTTATCATCATTTCTCATATATTATCACATTTTAAAAATGTTCTTATATCAAAGAAATTTTGCGATTTTTAAAGTTTCTCGATAAAAGTTGGGAGCAAATAATGTATAAATGTGGAAACTTTTGATTGATTGTGTCCGATTTTTTAAACGAAAAATCAGCTTTCATATGGCAAAAAGGTCCAGAATAACGATTCGACGCATAATTTAACGCATTAAATTTGAGAAACACAGAGAACAGATAGAATTATTTTTCGCAATCCAGCCCATCCAAAGGTTTTGATCGAAACTACGCCCATTTACGATAATAAGGTTTAATTTTTGAATAATTCAGGACCAAAATAGTTGAAGAACAATAAGTTCTTGCGTGATAAATTTAATTCGACTATAGTCAATATATACGTCGGTTCGTATTTTGAGCTTCCTCTCATATAAGGCTTTCTCATAAGACATCTATACTTAAAAGGGCTTAATCTGCTTTATTTTATGATGAAAAATTTTAAATAGTTAATAAACACTGCAAGAAAAACATAAATATTTTGTCTTAAATGAATTGATGAATTTAAAATGATTTCTAGGTGTGGGGTGAAAAGCGTTTGAAAATATAAATAAAATTTATAAAGCTAAGGAACTTGTAAAAAACTTGACAGAAGGACGTACAACGATAAGTTGTTCTTAGCAATATTAAGCAGGTATTAAGCAGTCTTACTGGAATGATCAAGTTATGTTAAACCTTTTGAAGGGGCTTATAAAGTATTAGTTTTAAAATTTTAATGAAAAACCGCATAAGAAATTAAACATTTTTTGCTTATACAATAGTCAGCAAAAGCTTCATGTAAGTTTTTTTATTAATTTGTCTGCTCTATTTTCAATAAATAATAAATAATAGTAAATAAGGTTTGTCAATTTAGTAAAATTTTGTTATTAAAAAAAAAAAAAAAAAAAAAAAAAAATTATCAACGACTGACGAACATGACTACATTTGATTGCTACATTTAAAGCTTTCGAAATGTCATTTTTAGAAAATCGATGTATATTCCGGTAGCGGGTGCGAAGATAGATAAGCCATAATATTCCCCTATTAGTTTTTTTCCTTTTTGCAGATTTTTATGTGTAGTGACTTGTGGAGGATAAGTAATACAAAATTGGACAAACCCTTTGCGAATTTATACGGCAACGAGAAGTCGTACCCCCAAATATTGCTTCGGATATAGGTACCGTCAGCGAAGATGGACCAAATTGGTCCACCATACAGCCGCAAAAGTAATTATAACGCATTTTTTATTGTCAGTATTGCGGATTGTGATTAAGATACAATCAAAGTATAATAATAATTGGATTGGTAATTAAATTAAACTATTTATACTTTTTGATATAAATTAAAAGAGGAAGGGACATATTCAGGAAGAAAATTTGATTAAAAAAAACAATCTGTAATATTGACATTTCGACATATATTTTCGATTTATTATTATTTTTTTTTTTTTAACATTTTACCTTTTAAAATTTTTGGATATAGAGTGTCTACACCTGGCGGCCAGAAAGATTCAAGTAGTGAGAGCAAAGCTTTAAAGCAAAAGTCAGGAATATCTGCACGCTATTCTAGAACTATTCTACCGAGCAATTATTTTGAAAATGCATATTGTAGTAACACCGCTCACAATCTTCAAAGGCCATTAGAAACAGCACAGCAGCAAAAGCAGAAGAAAATTTCATCGAACGGAGAACAACAAAGTATTCACATCAAATCGTCGCCAATAACCACATCGTCATCCCTATCCCCAACGCTTTTGCGTCACTCTAGAAAAACAAGCCGATATCTTAACACAGCCAAATATTCGCCGACTGAAACAACTGTGAAGAAGTCAGCTAGCACGCTTTATCGAGTTTTACAAGAATTTTCCGAGGATCTGCTTATACGAACAACAAAAACAGTCAGTCATAATCCGAGAACCACAGTAATGTAAACATTTTTGTTTTAATTTTCTTATAATGTACTTAAATCAGACGTTAGACGTGTAAGTAGGGTGCATTTTTTCATTTTAACATTCCTTTACGCAAAGATATATTAAATTTCCATATAGAGTGCACGAAGCACGGATAAAAACGCTTGGCAAACTTAACGTTCGTTATTTTCGAATAACGTATTTAAATTACATTATTTTTCTAATCGAGGTCCGCCCCGCCGTCTCAACACATACCGTTCTATACTATAAACCTATTAAAATAAATAACACTGTTTTTATATGATATAAAACATAACGTGATTATTTGTTGTCAGTCCAATATTGCTCCGCCCGCATAAAATCTTAAATTGACATCAAAAAGAAAAATAAAAAATAGATTTAGTTGGTTCAAGTTTTGGATATTCTAAATTATTGATAAAAAAAAAAAAGAGAACTTCTAATCAATACAGAGAGGTAGAAAAAAAAAAGCTTAAAATTTTCACCAACTATCCGCAGCAGAACTATGATTGCGGTTAGCTTCATTGATTTTTGCATTTATTTTCGAAACGGCCCAAAAAAAAAAAAAAAAATTTTTTTTTTTGAAAATGTAATTAATTTTTTTTTTTTAAATAATTAGAGGAACAGGAGAGAACGACGTGGTTAATTTTGTAACTTAGGTAAATTAAAAAAAAAAAAGAGTAGGATGAAGGGGGGGTGGGGGGTGGTTAGCAAATATTATAAGTTTCAATGTCGCCAGGAAAAGACGGATATATGCCATGGCAACAAGAATATTTAAGTTATATCTTTACAGTAGGACCGACAGGTATGATTGATTCTCAAATCAGATTCTCCACTCTTCTTCTTTCAGCCTCCTCAATATTTTATTTAAATTTTCATTAATATATATTTATTATTAATTAATAAATAATAAATTTTATCGTACAGCTCTACACCAATAAATTGAAAAGATGTTCTAAGGATAGTGGGCAAGATAAATATTTGGAATCTGGTATTTTGATTGCGCCGAAAAAACAAAAAGCATTAGCAGCCATGGAAGAAACTAAAAGTCAAATTTTACCGTCTGTCGCCCGTCGATTTGATGGGTCAGCTGAACAGGCGGCAACTCATGGTAAACAATCAACGGCAGGAGCTGACGTTGAAGATAGGAATCCTCTTAGGCATTCCACATCAAAATCATCGTCAAATATAGAAGCGGCTCCTTGCACAGCAATACAAAAATATAATCCCAATATGCGTTTCATACGTAAGAGTGTCGAGCAATTGGCCAAAAGTGTTAACACAAACTATTTGGAATTGGAAACTGAATTTCCTCGCGACTACGATGATAACATAGAAATGTTATCCCGCGAAACGGAACATTTGGAAGAACAATTTCGCACTCCAACTAAGACAAGTACTAACGATCTGTCGGGACAGTGTTTAGTACCGGTTACATCTACACAACAGTCCGAAATTGATGAAAAACTGAGCGAAACGGTGAAGGAAACAAATATCAAAACGGGCAGTAATACATCGAATGTTAAACGTGTGGGCTTCAAGGTTGAGGAGAAATTGGCCGAATGTAGCATCGTTTCCAAGGGTACATCTAAGTTAAGTGGTCGCGTTGAATATTTGAAACAGTTTAGTGCTGATAAGAGCTGTGAAACGGAACAACAAGCCGGATCGGATACAATATCGCATAGTACTAATACCGTGGTGAAAACATCATCTGCGGCTGCTGTTCAAACAACTACAACATTTCCTAAGCCTCCTATTAAAGATGATGATGATGAACCTATAGCCATGTCGCCATGCGGGCGTTTCTTTAAATATGATAAAGAAGTGGGACGTGGCAGTTTTAAAACGGTCTACAGAGGTCTGGACACGGAAACTGGTGTGGCTGTCGCTTGGTGTGAACTCTTGGTACTAATATTATACATAAAGCAATCGTTCTAATAATATGTATATATATATATATATATATATATATATATGTACAAATTCATTTTGTTCATTTAGGATAAACAAGTAAAAAAAAGCGAACGTAAACGTTTTCGCGAGGAGGCGGATATGTTGAAAAAATTGCAGCACCCGAATATAGTACGTTTCTACACATATTGGGAGTTCAATGTGTCTCGTAGGAAAAACATCGTTCTAGTCACTGAACTGATGCTGTCGGGTACATTGAAGTCGTAAGTGTTGTTGTTGTTGTTATACTCGCGCAAACTGTAAGCAAAAAAAAAATGATCTTACTTTATATTATTTTCATTTGTTGTTGTTAGGTATCTTAAACGCTTTAAAAAAGTAAATCCGAAAGTTCTTAAATCTTGGTGCCGACAAATTTTAAAAGGACTCCATTTTTTGCATACGCGTACATTGCCAATAATTCATCGTGATCTAAAATGTGATAATATATTTATAACGGGAACTACAGGAAGTGTTAAAATAGGTGACCTGGGCTTAGCCACCCTAAAAAATCGTTCTCATGCAAAGTCAGTCATAGGCACGCCAGAGTTTATGGCTCCCGAGATGTATGAAGAGCACTATGATGAATCGGTTGACGTTTATGCTTTCGGTATGTGCATGTTGGAGATGGCAGTTTCCGAATATCCTTACAGTGAATGCAAAGGTCCTGCTCAAATCTACAAAAAGGTAATATCGGGGATAAAGCCAGCTGCTCTTAACAAAGTTGAAGATCCTGCTGTCCGTGAAATTATAGAAAAATGCATAGAATTGAAAAAAGAAAACCGTCCCAGCTGCAAAGACTTGTTAAATTCTGAATTTTTTGGAGAAGATATCGGTATAAGGGTAGAACCCACGGCCACTGAAACGTTTCTAAATAATCCGGAAAAAAATGTCATAGAGTTTCGTTTACGTTTCCTCGATCCCAAGAAACGCTCCTCGAAACATAAAGAAAATGAAGCGATACAGTTTGAATTTGATATTAAAAAGGATGACTGCGAGCAAATCTGTCAGGACATGAAACAGGAGAACATTATATCAGAAGAGGATGCAAGAGCAGTTGTGCGGCTATTAAAAGTTCAAGTATTTTCGTTACTAAAAGAACGAGTTCAACGTCAAACGCAACTGCAATTGCAAAATGAGAAATCACGTTTGGAAAAACTTGCTCTACAGAAACAAAGAGAAATGTTGTTACCATCAAATGTAGAAGAAGATGAGGAGGAAGATGAAGGTGATTCTGAGGAGGAAGAGGACGCTAGTAAAGGACAGTGCAACCAGCAAAGCCAAAATCAAGCCGAAGGTGCACAAGTAATACAACAAGCCGACTCCACTTGCGATCAATCTACTAAATTGGGACAACAACATCAACAGGTGACCGTCTACCAGCAACCAAAGACGCAATCACAACAACTTGTCACTGCTGCCAATTACTCATGTCAAGATCTGCAATCATGTCAAGCTATTTTATCCCCAACGGGAAGGCAGTCGCAAACACAATTTTATACTGCTGCCCCGACAGCAGCTACAACGCAACAGCAGCAAACTTCTCAGGTATTATTTCCTAATAATATTTTTTCTTAAACAAGGGCACTGACTGTGACTATACATGCATATTATGTATTTATGATATACATTATGTTGTATATTGAGAAAAGATTCCTCTAAAAGAGTCTGATTGACTTCTTCATAATAATTGTCTGTGTTGTTCACAAAGCACATGGTATATTAATGGCCCTGTGCCTATCTCAGGTTGTAGATATTTATGTCAATATATCTTGCTTTAACGATTACAATAAAATCGAGAATATAAGGATTATGGCGTGTCTGATGCAATTTCGTGAATGTTACCGACGAAATGAAGCAATGTTTGGATATAACATCGGTGGTTGCCTAACAGCGACATATTTTTATTAAAAATATATATAGTTTTCATACTTAACGATTGTCAACTATTTTGATTATGATTTTAGGTGCACGCCCCCGCTCAGCATCAGCAATTCTCACAGCAACCAAAACAGCAATTCGCTATGCAATATTCAACCATGCAGCAGCAACAGCCGGCTTTAATGCAACAACAGCAGCTGAATCAGCAGCAAGTGGCAACTTTACAACAAACTATGCAACAACAACACCAACAGCAGCAGCAGCAACAACAACAACAACAACAACAACCACAACAAATAAAACATACGAACAATGCTAACAGCACTCATTATCAACATCAACAGCAATCACCAAAGTCTCCTAATCGTTCGCCGTCCCAACAAGATGCCGACGATAAAACAGCAGCCAACCGTGCAGCGAAAACACCTCGATCAAATCGTAGCACTAACGAACGTATTCCTAAACTTAGCGTTACTGGTATCGACTCTGGTACAGTTATTAACTGTCATATGGAGAACAAACAAAAGACTATAACATTTAAGTTCGATATACGCGATGTTAATCCCGTCGAGGTAGCCAGTAAATTGGTAAATATTAACAAATCCTTTAAAAAAAAAAAAAACAAACCAAAAATTGAATTCAATTGTTATATGTTTTATGATTTATAATTTTTTGTTATAATCTTCCTTTCAGGTAGCGCAAGATCTGCTATCGCAATGTCAAAGTACATCGTTTATCGAAATGATTAATGACATTATACGCCAAGTAAAATCGAATCCTAATCAAATTCCTGTACCTACTATTTATAGACGTAATATTGAAAAGGTAATGTGTGCTTTAATGTCTTTCATACACAGTTACACGCAGTATATTATCATTTTTATTATCAACTAATGGGAATACAACTATTACTATTACGATTACTACTACGATTACTACTACTATTACTACTACTGTTACTACTACTATTACTACTACTATTACTACTACTACTACTAATTATACAATATAAGTTCTTTAAACGCTTCTTGATACATTGTAACGAATTCTAAAACATTTTGTTTTAGTATTCAATGCTTTTTCTCTGTTATCGTACTTAAAAAAAAAAAACTGGTATTTTCTGCGTATGTGACTACTAAAATTTATGTACATATATGTGTGTATGTATGTATATATGCATATTATATATAATTATAATTTATGAAATGAGCCATCTTTTCAAATGCAGATATATATATATATATATTTTTTTTTTTTTTTGATAGTTGGTAAATTTCGATCTAGTAAGTGGTTGTGTATGTCATTGATTGTTGTAGAGAGTCTAGCGTTGCCTTAAAAGAATATCATTTTTGCATACTATTAAAATGCTTATCCATTATTGGTCATACACACATTAGAAGTGAAGGGTCTTACATGGATATAGTTGAAAAAGGTATCACTTCTAGTCTCTAAAATTTTATTTTTGAACTTTATCCGTGAAAGTTGTATTTAACAACTAAGAAATATGATCGCACTTTGCATAACTGAAAATAAAAAAATGCTCGATCCATTCGCTCATTTGTTCGTCATCTAATATAAAATGACTACATTGCAAGTCATAAATGAATAATTTTCCCCCTCATCAAGATATGTATTTTTTTTTTTTTTTTTTTTTTTAAAGCATTCATATAACAAATGAAAAAAAAAAAACTACATTCGCTTTAAGGTGAATCTTGGATAACCCACCACCTAAAAAAATAGTACATATGTTCTCTTTTAAAAAAAAAAAAAAAAAAAAAAAAAAAAAAAAAAAAATAGGTAGAAATTGTTAAAAAAAAAATTTAACACATATATATTTTAATCAATTAATCAAAGCTCTATTTGAAGCAGAATTCTTATGCAAATGTGTGTAATCCAACTATTGAATCATCTTTCTTAAGCATCTTCTGGAATCGTAGCATTTCCTTCTATTCGTTTTCGATATGTTACGAATTGATTCAGATCGCGTTCAACGACGTGGCGATGGTAAATATGGGTTTTGTTGAGATGTGAAGCTCACACACATATACAATACACTACGCTTCCATAGAGACCCCTACACACGCAAAGGAAGACAGGAAGAGAGCCGTATCCGCAGAAAATAATGTGTACTTAATCGATGAAAACATATATATATATATATATGTATATGTATAATACAAAAATAAATATTCAAATAAATCTTCAACACTTGAAATATCAATCAAATTTGGTGATCTTAAAACATCCTCTGAGCGAAATTTCCACTAAATTTCTCAATACAATCGATACGTATGCTGATTGGTTCCTTATTAGATGATCGTAAAAGCCGATTAGGGTGAGGCAGAGCAAGCATTTCAAACACTTAATCAATTCAATAATCTTGTCCGTGGACGCTTTTTATCCCAGATATGTTCGCATTTTCGAATGGATGTCGTTACCATTCGCATTTTGCATGATTTCTAATACGAAATCCATTGATTGTAGACAACGAATTCAGAGCGTGTTCTTTAATCGATCGTTTCACTTATGTCGGAAATGAGCGCGAGAATAATTAGTACAAGCAATTATTGTATACAAACTAATCCGCAGGCGTCTGCCAAAGCAAGCATTCATGTTTTTTAGGGCTCACTAATTTGAAATTGTACCAGTTAAACACGATTCCTGGCGTTTTTTTTTTTTTTTTTTTTTTCTTATAACATTTCATGGCACAGATAATCACGTTGTCGTTATGATTATACGGTTACAGTGCTGCAGATAGTAAATTATAAATTATTTATAAAAATAAAAATTGTTTTTTTTTTTTTTTAAATTTTTCTAAAATTGCTTCTCAAAACTCAGAAATATTGTGTTTTTTGTGAAGGCCGATCATTGGCAGTTTTAAATTTTTATTTCAATTCCAATTTAATATTTCCTCCACCTTAGGAAATATATATATATGTTCGGTCCAAGGTCACTCCATTCTGCAACCTATTATTGCAATTTATAGCAATAGCTATAAATTCAAATGTAACTTAAAGTTCTCAGTAAATGTTTCTGTCTGACCGATATTTTGACCGATAATAACAATTCCAAAATTCCGTTTACACATTTAGTCCAAAGTCAAATTGTTTTTCTTTACGAATCCAAATTTTAAAATGCTTTTTATTCTTGTCGAAAATTGCGATATATTAGCACGTGGAATCAACTGTCAAGACAAAATTCGAGCAGTCAATGATCGATCGACACTGCTCTCGCAAATTCATCTAAGACAATACATTACAATGCAAGACGTAAATGCGCGCTCTCTTGCGCTAGTCTTGCATGTCAGTTTTACACCACGCATCTTTTCATTACAGCCGTGTGTGGCTCGGTTTTCATAGATTTGTAATCAATCGTTTCAAAACTGGCTCAATTTCGTCTCGTTTCAGAGGCACGCGAATCGCACGCGAAAACACATTTCATTCTTAATTAATGTGACATCTAAATAGAGAGAGAGAGAGAGAGAGAGAGAGAGCTTCTTGTGTTTGTAGAGTCAGGCTTATGTTCAAAACTGCTTCTTAAATCAATTCAATATTCAGTTTTGTAGCGATGTCACAAAATTAATATATGTCGACTTTTCATTCATTATTTATTCATTTCTTCTTTTTTTTTTTTTTTAATGAATTTCGTCGCCTTTAGAGGATTTAAAATAAAAATTTCCCAAAACGTGAACGACCAAACTTTATTACAAACATCCCCTGAACATTTTCATTTCGATCGAAGCGATTTTTCCTCACATTTAAAACATATTTTTTGTATTAACAAATGTCATTAATACTTTTCTTTTTATTATCTAACTTATCAATCGACTTTCAAATGCTCTATAGTATAATATATGGCTTCTTGCATACTTTCGAGTTACATAACTTTCGAGCCATTCTCTCATTTTTTGCAATCGTAAAATATATTAAATATTATGTAAAATTATAATCGAACTGATTTAATAAACTCACCCTTCAGGCCATATTTTAGATAGCTTAGATCGATCATCATCAAAAAGCTGGTGTCGTCCTTGCTTTTCACAAGACTCAAATAAATAATGATTTCGTCTCTCGTCGATCGTAGGTTGTTGCCTATCGAATAGTCATGTTCAAGGGTGAAAAACGTTTTTCCATGCACTGAAATTTTAAATTGCTTTGACAAATACTTCCTGCAAGGGATAATAAATAACATCAAGCTAGAAAGAAGAGATTTCTTTTGGGTGCAAAGGAGGCAATAACAGAATAATTATGTTCGAGTAGATTTACCAGGAATTGGAAACGACAATTAGGGGCACGCGGTATACCCCTGACCCGAATTTGAATTAAAAAAGAAAAAAAAATCATTTAATCTATATATCTTCCTATATCTAGAGAATTACGTCGGTACAAGGGTTTGTGGGGAAAAGTTCAATTAACGACCGAGAAAAAGTCACTCGTTTATTAATAAAAAAAAAGTTTCGGTTAGCTTAGGTCGAAAATGACCTACGTGTGGCGCCCGAGAGATGCTGTGAAAAATTCTTATGAAAAAAAATGAAAACTTTTATCTGCCACAATAGACACATATTTATTTTTTTTTTTTTTTTTCATTATATCCAGCACCGAAGGATGGCGAGGAATGGTATATTCACTTTGTTGAAACGTTTGTGATGGCCAGAAGGAAGCATCACCGAACCCAAAAAGTGTAGATAGTTCTATACAGTATCAAATTTTAAATCGATATAAGCATGTCCGTCTGTCCGTCTGTCCGTCCGCGTTATCTCTGCTGTAAACACTGTTATGGCCGCACAAATGAAGCGCTGTTAATTTCAAATTTGGCAGAAACATTGGAAGTTCTTGCAAGCAGGTTGGTATTGAAAATGGGCCAAATTGGTCAAAGGACACGGCCGCAGCGTCACGTAAATGGGGAACACTTCTGTTTTTCAAAAGGAATGGAAAATTGCTTTTTTTAGCTCATTACAAAAATTTGAACGCATGTTCTACGGGCAATTCGTGAACACAAGTGGAAAAAATTTACCACGCCTACCCAATGTTATAGTGTATCCAAATTTAATTGTTTTGTCGATATCTTAATAAAGCGCAACAAAAAGCTTCAAAAAGTATAGAAGTTCTTGGCCAGTTTCAAATTTGAAATTCACCTAAACATGTCCGCCCGCCCATCTGTCTTTTTGCGCAACTGTATGCTAGATATCCTCTCGTTAACGAAAATGGAGATATTGCAAAAGAATTTAAAAATGACTTAAACTTTTCAAAGGACACGCCTATATCGCCCACATGCCTTTACAACATAAACCTACGTCCACTCCATATTATAGAGCATGGAAATTTTCTTCTTTTACTTCTTTTACCTTTACTTTTGAGGTAAACGGTAATGGGTGTAAAAGATTCGGTCCCGACCGAATTTAATTTTCTTCTTACTTGTTTCCTTTTTTCGACATTCGTCAAACGTTCGTTTTACACGGAATTGGGGAAAAACGGGACAAGAAAACACAATAATTTCCAAAAGGTTCGCTCTATTATTACTACTACTATTATTATTATCATTAATTTCGCCAGAGAAATAAATTCTAAGACTAAACTCTTAAAAGCATCTAAGCATCTAAGGCTATCGGCTTTTATTAAAAACTCTACCGCACTTGAGATTCGAATCCACGACCATTGAGACTTGCTAGTCGAGATTCCTCGCCTTCGGCTACTCAGGCGGATAGGTTCGCTCTACTTTTCTTTCAACTTTTTGGTATTTAAGTATTTATGCGCAGAAGAAATTCATTATGTTTATGCATATATATACTATGTATGCTACTAATTTTTCTATCGATTAAATATAATATATATTGATCGGTGTTCAAGTTTCAACTATCAAATTAATTCATTTCATTTATTATATGATTTTTG